GTGTATCCCTCACAAAACGTTGCAGAACTAACCCCAACAGCCCCTGGCTGTTGTGTAATTTTTCTAGACAAATTTACATCCAGTAGTTTGCCATTGCTTTCTGAATGGTAAGCTTTCTTGATACCACTGTCGAAACCAATATAAGGCGCATGGCCCGCAGCTGGAATTAAACCCGGCATCCTGGCATTACTTAGCGTTTGCATTGACTTAGCCACAGAGCGGACATGTCTCAAGTATAGCTGGGCCATACATATGGCCTAACAACTGAATGGGGTTTTTGGGACCTCTCCTTAGGTGATCTTTATCCTCATGGTAACACTTTGTGTCACCGGGTGTTTATTGCTTTGTGTGATGTCCTGGTGGGGTACAACTTACATACATACACACATATATACATTCTCTAGAAAAGGAAGAACCACTAATATCAAAACTGATGAAAACCAGATAAAGCAGGCAAAGCATTTTACATATCAAGGGAGCATTTTTTTCAGAAGACAGAAGCAATAATAAAGTCGATCAAGTTTTAGACCAAATGTAACCAATTCTGAAATATAAGCATGTGAATATGAACACACTAAAAACTGTTGAACATAATATTCTTACCAATGCTATGCTATCAGTGTCAAACATGGACACTGTCTTCAGAGGACAGAAGAAATTAGTCAGGACAGAAATGAGATGTTTAGGCGTAATGAGAAAAAAATCATCCTAGGAAAGACAACATCAGGAGGTGAGCCGGCTTAGAACCAATACTGAACTTTATAGGTAGACAACAAATCAAAAGGTTTGGCCATATAAGATTGGCATCAGACAGGTCACCACAGAGAGCAATGTTATACATATACAGAAGTAACAAAGCCAGAGGTCGACCAAGCAGACGATGGACCGCAAAAATATCAGAGACACTATGATAAGTATTTTACACAAAGCGAACAGAAGGACCTGTTCCAGAGATCTCTTCATGCCCTGATGCCACTGGGCATTCCAGGAGTAGAGAAAGGAAGAAGACTACCATATGCACAGTATAGACAAAATATATAACACAGAACCTTCACTAGCCACAGTTGGGCAGCCATTGTGACATCATGTTTGACAAGCTGCTATTCCTGAGATACTGAATTGTTCACTTCAGACATTTCTGTTGTCATTATCAGTGCATTCCTCTCAGATTTCTTGCGGTTGAAGGTCCACATTATGCACGAGTCCAGCTTTTTCATTCTCCTGTAAGACATGTGATCTTTCTTGTTAAAATGTCTCCTTGGCAGATGTGTGAGTAATTTTCAATTGTTGAATATTTGTTATGTAAAATGTGTACCATTATATAGTTCTTGAATTAAAAAATAATAATTAAAAAATTTCATTAACACAGTTTTTGTTTCAAACTTATACTTAAAATAACAAAATGTTGTAGGCTAATTCTTTCTATTTATCTGCCAGGGAAGTTTCCAGAACCTACCTGCAATCTAACCCCCTCTAATTGCATTCATAACATTTTCCCATTGAGTCATTTTTGCATCTGCTGCACACCACTTGAACTTTTTAACTTAAAAAAAAAAACCTTTTCTGCCTTTTCTACCTCCTCTTGCAACCTTTAAGGTGACTTTCGCACTTTTTGTAATTGTTTAACTGCTGCACTCTTTTCTTTCCATGCCTGTTCGACTTCTTTGGTCCATCATGGAGGCTGCAAAAACACAGAACTGGCTCTATTTGACTTCCATCCATCACGTGAAATTTTGAGAAACTATCTAAACTAATCATTGAGCTAAATGTGGCTATTGAATGACACCTTTAGACACTTTATCAATGACCAGTTCTCAGTATTCCCTTAGTTATAAACTATTGGTCCCTGGAACAGTTACAGAGTACCTGCATGTTCACAAAACTGGCATTGGACTGTCAAGAATAGGCAACTCACTAGACATAAAATGGACATGGAATTTATATATATATATATATATATATATATATATATATATATATATATATATATATATATATATATATATATATATATATATATATATTTACATGTATATATCCAAAGTGTAATATTTTTTAATATGTTTTGATAACAGCTGATGAAGAGACCAGTTATAACAATGCCTCCTATTCAAAAAGATAATTAGGTAGTTGACAGTTCATATTTGCGTAAGTGCGTAAGTGCTTCGATCCCCTCCTCAGTAGATCATGTACCTTGCAACCCCCCCCCCCCCCACACTCTCCCTTCCGCCCCGGGCCAGTCAATTAGTTATAGTTTGCATGTAGTGGCTGAAAATACCAGTTCTGTGTTGGTTTATTTTTCTTCTTTATATTCCTGCATAATGCCCTTTTCTGGCCTCACCCCTGTTCATTCACTGTTCTTGCAGTCTGGTCAATATATCAGTTTATTGGAAATAAAAGTGCCTGTAGGCAAAAAAACTCAGAATAAAAAAATAAAAAAAAAAACAGCAGATTTTGTTGGCAATTTTTCAACGGATAGTTTTCCCCCAACAGGATCACTGTTGCTAGGTGCTGCCATTATCTCAGACATGCTTGTGTAATGAAAGAAAGCTTACCACATAATAACCACACCAACAGCTGCAAGCACTGCCACAGTGACACTGCCAGACACAGCCCACAGTGTCGTACTGTACATAGACAGGTTTTCTTCTTTCTCAGAAGTGTCGGCTTTTGCTATGGAAATAGTGTCTTTTGCTGTAAATAAGAACACATTTAAATCAGTGAGCTTTGTAGAAGTACTGGCTTTTTAGGGTAAAATTATAAGAGAGTAAAGTAAATGTATGTCACCTATAAGAGATCACAACTGCTATCTTTTAAATGCTTCTTATTTTACTTTCTGCTCACATTTTTAAAAGGTGTGGAGAGTGAGAATACAAACCTGTCATGCTCCATCTCATCTCAAACTTTAACATCTGTATCCTGATCATGAAACCATGTTTCACTGAAGTGAATCAAGCCCCAACTCTCTCATGATGTTCGACAATTTCTGATGATGAACACAGTTGAAGGCCTTAGTATAGTCTGAAGTGTGTGAAGATCTACATTGTACTTTCTGCATTTCGCAAAATGTCATGGGAAGCAAAAGGTGACCAGAGTGATGTGACATCATCACTCATCTAGAGCAAGTGGTCTATAAAGATAAGTCATCAAGACAAGACATTCCAGTTGCTACATTTAACAATATTAAAACATATGTTTGTCAACCATACTTATCTGTGTGAGTAATTACAAGGATCAGTATTGATGAATCATGTCACAATGAATGAATGAATGAATGTCAACACCAGGGAATTTTTTTCATGGTGGTATGCAGTATTGGCACCTATTTTTGTGTGTGATAAGTGTCAGAGGCCAGTTCGGCTATGGGAAGCACAACTGATGATAGTGAATCATCACGTTTGTACGAGTTGACCTTCAGTACAACTCAGTATGAGATCTGACAGCTTGACCACGCAATAAACTGGGTCCAGTTAACAGGCCAGGTCTAGTTCACTCAGGTGACACGGAATGCTGCGTGTCAAGCCACGAACTCAGGCCGGGGATACAAAAGGCTTTGTCCGAGTTGGTTGAGGGGGAGTTGTGTGCTAGGACAGGACGAGAGAAGACGGAAACATTTTGACTAGGTAACGTTAGGTTTAGTGACGGTTAGTAGTTATAGGATATTTGTATATAGTATCGATGGTAGGCTGTGTTTCTATTTAATGTTTAGACTAGATAGTATAGAGTTAATGTTCTTTGTGTAGTAGACATTCCATGCAGTATTTGTTTGAGTAGTTAACCAAGGTGTGACACGCATTGTAATTGCGGTAACACTGCCCGGTCACGCTTGGGCCATACACCTTAAATGTAACGCTGAGTCCCATTTGGCAATAGACGGCAGATTGATTGGCACTGAGAAACTGTCAGCTAAGAGTCGTGTTCCTGGTAGATCCATGGGAACTGGCCTGGGTTGATTAGTGAGTGTAAAGCTGTCATCGCCAAGGCAGTTTCGGATGGGAACTACTTAGCCCAGTTGAGGTGTCTAACGTCTAGTTGTTCATTGTACATTAAAGATTATGTTTGTACTCAGCAGGAGTATTGTCTTAAGTGTGTCTGGGTAGTTAAGTCTGTCAGCTGGCCTACCTAGCGAGCCATATAAAATAAGTAGAGTAGATTAGGTCCCTGACACATATCCAATGCATCCAACGAATGAAAGTGTAGGGCTGTACTTACCTTCATCACAAAGAAGCCCTGTGTAGCCAGGCTGACATCCCTGTGTACAAGCTCCAGAAGTGTGATTACAGACAGACCCGTTTATGTCAGTATTCTCACAATGTTGTGGGCAGGTAGAGTTGCAGTCTTGGCCATAGGTTCCCCTGTCACATTCTGTGTGCAGAAAGTCATGTCATATATTCACAAAATTAGATCTCTTTCATTTTGTCAGATTATGCAGGAGTCACACTGGTACTGAGCCACCCAACTATTGCTTTTTTTTTTGCTTACATAAATATAATTTGTACAACTGGCTATTCAGTCTACCCATATCGATATTTAAATAGCTGTTGGATTTCGAAGTAGAAATGGGCATAGTTAACTGAAGCCCTCTATTAGTGCCAACAATTGCACTGTCCATTTATTTATTGTATATATGGTCTGCCCAGCTATAGATACAATGATGATGTGTGAAGTAAATAAATGGCAACCTACTTTGGTCACACTTGGGTCCCTGATATCCAGCCTGGCATCCATGAAGACAGCTACCATCAATATGATCACAGGCAGACTCACTGATGTCCCCTGTCACACAGAACTGAGAGCAGGAGGAGCTGCAGTCTGCTCCATAAGTTCCATGGTCACAGGCTAAAGAATTATGAAAATAAATCTTAATTCTGTCTAACCCATTTGTAATAAGGAAGACCACACAACAACAACAACAACAACAAAACCACTATATTTCATGGGTCCATAGGTAATTAGAAAAAAGCTAGACCGATGGTGGATTGGCTTGTTCAAATCATATTTACAGCAGAATTGGGAAATAATTAGATGGCATCTTTTGGGAGCTTGGAAAGCAATGGGCCAGCAGGCTTGCCTGTTGGCACATTTCCCACATGTTTATATTGCCCTTGAGGCAGGACTGTCTCTTCAGACTGATCTAGGCTCAAAGGCTTACGTAGCCTCATTTGGGTACCAGAAAATCTTTTGAGAATTAATGCAGTTGACTAATATTGACCCCATTCCATGTGTGGGTCTACACGTTTATTTCCCAACTCTCTTGCATACCCTGAAAAAAAAGCAGCAGGAGTTACCAAGAATCAGTTGTTGAATTTGGATTCTGTAATAAATGCTGGACATTCCCTGAATTCTAAGCCAAGTTTGATTTGAACATTACACAAGTCTCTCTCTCTCTCTCTCTCTCTCTCTCTCTCTCTCTCTCTCTCTCTCTCTCTCTCTCTCTCTCTCTTCTCTCTCTCTCTCTCTCTCTCTCTCTCTCTCTCTCTCTCTCTCTCTCTCTCTCTATCTCTCTCCTATTTTTTTTAAATATTGCCCCATTCCTTCGGTGGGTTCTGGTGCCTCATTTTTGAGAACAAATAATAGACCCACTGCTTCCCCAGCAAACATGTTGTACAAGACAACCAGTTATAGAAGTTTCCTTCGAAGTCAGAGTGCATCTGCCTGAAAAGCTTGGAACCTACAGGCGGCATGTGAATAAGCCAGATCTGTAAAACAGATGTGCCTGTAAAACTCAAGTTCTGGAAGAAGACCAACGTCTACCAAGAGACAAACATTTAGAACTTTCCATCAGAGTTTACAGCCAGTAAATGTGAAGAAGAAGACTGACCACATCAGCCAGAGAGAGCATCAGTTGGTTCGTACAAATAAACAGCTGGCACCATATACCCAATACTGTTTACCTTTATAAATTGTTTACCTTTACATATTGTTTACTTACATTTTGTTTACTTATATAGTGTTCACTAATATATTGTTTACTTAAATAATGTACATTTATATAATGTTTACTTATATAATGTACATTTATATAATGTTTACTTATATAATGTACATTTATATAATGTTTACTTATATAATGTACATTTATATAATGTTTACTTATATATAGTTTTTTACTAATAAAGTGTTAACTTATATAGTGTTTATTTATGCATTGTTTACTTATGCATTGTTTTCTTATGTATTGTTTACCTATATAATGTTTACTTATATAGTGTTTATTTATATAATGTTTGAATGTATAGTGTTTGCCTATATAGTGTTTACATGCATAGAATTTGTTTTATACTGTTTACTTATATATTGTTTACCTACATATTGTTTGCTTATGTGTTGTTTACTTATATAATGTTCACTAATATCAGGGAAAATTTACTGCAAGATGTACATGCTGCCCCATAAAACATTTAATCCTGGATGCCGATCATCTTATTACCTCATACAACATCAGAATAGTGATGCAGTGGATTCCAGGTCACTCCGGCACACCAGGTAATGACAGAGCTGACAGATTGGCAAAGAAAGGAGCAACACAAGAACAACCACCTACAGCGACAACCCTCCAGACAGCAAAAACACTGATAAGAGCTATAAACAAAGAGACTTGGTTGAACAGATGGGCCATGGGAGACACTGGAAGAGAGGTTTATAGACATATGTCTGGCCCTGATCCTAATGACAGCATTAACCATCTAACAAGAAGGGACCAGGCCACCATCTTCAGACTTAGAACGCAACATACTCCACTCAATGGACACCTAAACAGAATACAGCCACAACACTCCCCAGAGTGCCAGCTATGTAACTACCCCTACGAAACTGTTGAACACCATCTCTTTGAGTGCCCAAAACTCAGTGAGACAAGAAGAACGCTACTCCCTCCGAGACCAGACAAGTGGAACACCTTGTACGGAGGAAAAGAACAGCTTGTGAAAACATGCAAATTCCACTACATGGCATTGGGCCAAAGGGCGAAAGCTCATGCGCCGCTGGATCGATAACAACAACAACAACAACATAGTGTTTACATGCATAGAATTTGTTTTATACTGTTTACTTATATATTGTTTACCTACATATTGTTTGCTTATGTGTTGTTTACTTATATAATGTTCACTAATATCAGGGAAAATTTACTGCAAGATATACATGCTGCCCCATAAAACATTTTGCCAGGATTCTTAAACTATTAGAAACCACTTTGGCAATGGTGTATGACAGTGCAGGCAGCAGTTTCAAAAGAGAGAGACAAGTCTAATTGAGGTGAAAAGCCCCAAAAATATTGTATAAAGCCTTGTTCCATTTTTTGACTGCCCTTGTTCAATCCATCTTTGTTGATTTCTCAGACAGGTGTTGAGCTTAGAACTGACATCACAGCACTCAAGACATTCCTTTAAGCGCTCTGTCCTAATCTTCAGTAGCCAGCTAAGACTTCCAGTTAATGGTTCCAGTAGTATTTTGATTATACGTCCGCCTTGTCTTTCCTCTGAGTGTTTAGTGTCGACCAGATCTTCTGGTCACTCCCAGCTGTATCTTTCTCTCCAGTCCATGATAATCTTTTCATGCCTCCGCTTTGTTCCGCTTGCTACAAATCGTCTTGACCATATCTAGCTTTTCATGCATAAATTCACCACTCACTGATGCAGAACCAGCCAGTCTGTCTACATGTTTATTTACGAACACTCCAGCATGTCCTGGAGAAAAAATTTAAAGAATACGAAATATCTGGGACCTCTAAACCAATGTCTGCTACTCTGCACACACACTCACGCACACACACTTCTGCCTCAAAACACAGAGCCATCTGTATAAATAAGCAAGAGTTACGATGAATCAGTAGTTCAATTTTGATTCTGTAGTGCCTGCTGGGCAATCCCTTCACTCCCAGCCAAATTTGATTAGAACACTACACACGTCTTTTTGTTATTGTTGTTGTTGTTGCTCTGACACTTTGACCTACTCCTCCTCTCCTCTTCCAATTTATTTCCAGCATACACGCATCTCTAATCACGTCTTCTCTTCTACATCCAAGACTTCCCTGTAATCAACCTGTGACCCACAGCTGTATCCAGGGCTTTATGAAGAAGGTGGCTTTTGTTCGCTGCTTCCCTAAGGTATGACTTAACAAGCGTCAGCCTACAACTCCATTGCTGTATTAGTTTATCACAATAAAGTAAAATGGCATACTTACACTGATTACACACTGGCCCTGTGTAACCATCCTGACACCCCTGCAGGCATGTTCCATTAGTGTGGTGACAGATGGTTTCACTCATGTCTCCGACCTTGCAGAGTTCAGGACAGTAGAGACTGCAGCCAGGACCATAGATTCCATTGTCACAGACTGTAAGACAGAGTTTAAAACAGGAATTTTCAAACAGATGCTGAAGAAAGACAGCATTAATTAAGTAGTTATTATAACAAGGGCTTAATGTCTAACAAACCTGCTAAGAATGAAATTTAAAAAAAAAATGATAGGCAGACACATAAAAAGACAGAATGTGAAAGTGATGAGAATTTAAATACTAAGATGTACAAACACATGGTTGAACATACAAGCAGACACCAATCATAGGAATATATGTCAACTTACGCTCATCACACTTGGATCCTAAGTAGCCAGCCTGACAACCCAGCAGACAGGTTCCATGGATGTGATCACACACAGACTGACTCGTGTTCCCAACCTCACAAAATTGAGGGCACACAGAGCTGCAGTCTTGTCCATATGTCCCACTAATGCAGGCTGAAAGGATGCAAAATTAGGCTTTCATGAACATAAACCAGCAAAGCAATATTGTCAGTTTGTAAAGTATGAGAGACCTAAATGTGGGCTGGATTTTTCAAATGAGCTAGTCACAGAGATTATTTGTATGATGTTTTACACTTCTGACATTACTGTCTGTGTGTGAATTACAGTCATTAAATAAAACAGTAGGTGGAAGATGGTATTTTACTGTCGCATAAATAATTAAACTGTCACTGAGATTTTGTAACTGTTGGTTTTTTTTTTAAACTCTAGGCACCCGGATTACATCAACAAACCACAGAAAAATTGTATAAATAGGCATATTGTTTCTCCATTAACTCTGCAGGAAGCTAATCAGCTAACTCTGACTATAAGACAGTGATACATAAATATCTCCTAGGCATTTATCATTTTAACAAAACAGCATATCACAGAAGACATTATCATTATCATCCTCATATCACTTAGAACTACAGCTGGTGAAACTGAAAAAAAAAAACTATCATAAAGCCTGAACTGATTTTTTTTTGTTCTTCTAAAGATAAAATCTTCTTGTCCTGGCTGCCAACTAGCAATGTCCAGTTTTAAGATTTCTAAAATGATTTACATCCAATAATTTCCTGTCCCCTGCTGCAGATTGTTATCCAGATCAGTTGATGTGTAGGACTGATGTCCTAACTCCTCTGTCAATGGCTCTTGCACTAAATAAACAGCATAATCTATTTAGACACTTACTGTCCTCACAAAGAGGTCCTGTGTAGCCAGGCTGACATCCTTGCAGGCAGGTACCATCCACATGATGGCACACACGTTGTTCACTGGTCATGTTGACCAAGCACATTTGTGGACATGTAGTACTGCAGTTCTGACCATAGTGTCCATTGTCACATTCTGTAACACGTGTCTTCAAATAATGGGCAAATACAGATAATTGGAGGGTCGTGTGCATGCATGTCTGTATTGTAGATGGCTTTGTTGATGATTTTGGGCACTCTTCAGTAGGATGCAAATCAGAAAACCTGATAATGAAAAACTAGAATGTCCATGCTTTGGAGCCCAAATGGAGGGAGAAATGAATATAGACATAGAACACATT